GTGTGTGTGTATGCATGTTAGGCTATTTTATTTTCTTATTAAATGGATCTGTTATCTTTTGTGTCAAATTCTTATATTTAATCAATAAACTAGAATAATAAGACACAATAGGGATACAGACGCTCACCTTGACACAGACACAGACGCTGCATCGGAAGTGGCGTTTAGTCTTATTTAAGCAGACTGTAAAATAATCATAAATGCTTTAACAAGCCCAGACAAAGCACCGCTGTTAATCTATATTCTAGTCGATGTGATAGCGAAAGCTGTTTGCTGTTTAACCTGTTTAACTTGCTATGACATAGCAAGTTTTATTAATCCCTGCATTGCTGTATTTAATTCTCTATTCAGTAGATGTATATCTGTTTTCTAACAGTGTTTTCTAAAGTTACTACCATGTATGTTTATACTTATGTGCATTTTCCTTTTTTTTTTTTATAGAAAAACCACACACAAATTGTATACACCCGACAAGTGTAACAGTGTTGTAGTGAAAAATAAACGGGTTACTCCCAGATATAAGACACCTGTCGACTACATCTATCAACCAAGTCTCTTAGATCAGTAATCTAGATCAGACGAGTTATAAAGAGCCAACTCATTCTTTCAGTGTCAGTGAAGAGCTTGAGAGGAAGCATGAGATGTGTGAAGAAGACCAAGAAATCAAGGTAAAACTTGTGAACTATATTTTTATTTGGTATTTTTAATCAAGCTGTAATTTTGGATACATTCCCCCACAGAATGCTGTCAAAACAAAACATGATTCACTGTAAGATGGAAACCTTTACGACTTTCAGAAAATGTGATAAATGTTAAAGGGATAGTTCACCCAAGAATTTTGTCATTAATTACTCACCCTCATGTCGTTCCAAACCCGTAAGATCTTCATTCATCTTCGGAACGCAAATAAAGATATTTTTGATGAAATCTGAGAGCTTTCTGACCCTGCATCGACAGCAACGCAACTGAAACGTTCCCTGGCCCAGGTATTAAGAACATCATTACAATAGTCCATGTGACATCAGTGGCTCAACTGTAATGTTATGAAGCTACAAGATCAAAGAAAACAAAAATAATGCATTTTTTCAACAATTTCTTCTCTTCCGTGTCAGTCTCCGACACGCGTTCAGCAGAGTACGTGCTGGTACATTCATGTTGATATTTTGCATGTATGTTGATTTACTTTGATTTTGCTCTGCTGTATGACTGTGATGCTGTGAATCATTCATTTCATTGTATCATCACGTTCTGATGGGAAATTTGACAGCATAATTCATTTTACAAAATTACTTGGGTTTTATTCGAGATTATCAGAAGTAGCCTACATTTATGGCAGGTATGGTAACTAGCTGACAACTGTTAAAAATTCAGCTCCCAAACCAAGCTGATAAAATAAATGATCAGCTGGAAAAAAAGAAACCGCTTCAGTAAATAAGTCCAGCTTCAAGCATCAGCTGGTTTTGAGTGCTCTGACCAGTTCTACCAGATTACCTGTTAACAAAAACAGCTTGAGCTGGTCATGCTGGACTTTCCAGAGAGGCGTGGGCATCAATGTTTATATAGTAAAACAAAAACATCTTGGACAGAGACACACACACACACACGTTGGTATTAGTGGTTTACAGGAACTTTTTTATACTGTACAAACTGTATTTTCTATCGCCCTAAACCAACCCTACA